CACATAGGTCCTGTTAGGCTTCCTGGCTGGGGACCTCGGGATGATCGTAACCGATGGTTAGAGACACTGAGTGATATGGCTGGGTGTCGCAAACAGTGGCGTTCGTGCATCTTCTCAATTTCTTTGCAACCGTAGACCACTGAACTTCTCCATTTTCTGTTCGACTCCACTTTCAACTTTCCTTTCTTCTCCTATTCTTCATCCCAATGGGCGGCCAAAAGACAGCAACCAAAACCGGTGCACAAATATGCGTGATCAATGGTTGTACAAACTGAACTGAACTGATATAACTTGGCCATGAGTGCTTACCATCTGCACGAACGCATCCTGTAGTTGTGTCAATTGTTCCTTCAGTGTTCGGTTCTGTTCCATGGCACGACTCAGGGTGACACGCTCAGAGGTAGCAGTGGCCAAAACAACATCACGATCCGCCAGTAATGTCTCCTTCTCAGCAAGCGTTTCACGGGCCGCGTCCAACTGACTCGTCAACTCTAAGACCTAATAAGCACAAAAAACAAAGATGATTAGATAAGGGGAGAGAAACCATACTACATTATGACAATTTCGATCAAACTAATACAGAGTAGAAGTGCTACAGGTTCGGGGTGTACATTGTTCAGTTATGTTGCTATCTGACACAATGGTCATTGATTCCTATCGACCGAAATGTGGTAGTGTGCCTCCAGTTGAATCACACGTGTATACTCGACCTGAGGTTGGGTCACATCAGTGAACTTATAATGCGTTAAGCATTCACCGTTCCTATGACGGGCTAATTTTCGATGATCGATCGATCGATTGTAAAGCGGTACAGCACAACAATGAGTCTGTTCTGGGCAGTGCTGTTCGTGTGCTGAACTGTGACCTGGAAACTGGAATTGGAAGTGTGAGGTGGTGATCGCTGTGAGAAAACCCTAACCGTGGGTGGATAGAAAAATTGTATGAGCTAAGGAAAGCTCAGATAATTACAATGTGAAATCAAAACCATAGTGTGATATGGTTAACGAACAATAACACGGTAGGCTTCAGAATGTTGGAAAGCACTCGTGTCTGTGAAGCAATACGGAGGTTGGACACGAAGATGTTTCTTTCATATAGGCATGTGGTCAAAGTGTTGACCAGTGTCCGTGTAGCTAAACACCATGAGTATCGATCCGCGGCACGGAGATTCACGATCCGAGTACTGGAAGTAACACTTTGCTTTATTAAATATAAAATGATAAAATTTTCAGGAAGGAGGAAGTGGCCAATCAAAGGGCTGCCATAGGGGAAGTCAGGCTATAGTGGTGGGGTTCGAACACACGTACCCTCAGGTGATAATTTAGTGACAACACTACCAGGGCACCACCGCCCAATAGTAGCACTACAATAGTATTCAGTGCCGATGAGTTTCAACAACAATAAAAACAGCTAGTGAGTGCTACTTGTGAAACGTCTGGCAAAATTTTATTGCAGACAATATTTGATTTAGTGCGTGCTAGAAATAAAATCGACGAGATCAAAATAAATCACCACAAGACAAAAGTCTGCTCTTTGATTTTGTGAAACGGGGTTTTCAATTCGAATATCCAGTTTTTCAGTCTACAGCAAAGAGATAGGGAGTGACCTTACAATGACAAGGCATTTTCATATAAACATGCAGGGCAAGACAGTTCAGCTAACCTGATTTGTCAGTCTGTCTGCTTCACTTTTGCGCTCGTCCAACATCTGTTGCAATTCTGCCACGCGGGCGACATCCACCGTTGATGCTGGAGGTACGCACGCAGAGGACGGTGCTGTAGTTGACAAAGATTGCGTCTGTGCAGATTCGATAAGTGGTGGGTGTGGAACGGAAGCAACGGTCAATTGCGCACGAGCAGCTTCCAGTTCACCACCTAAACCAGAGCGAACGGGATGCGATGTGATGTGCAGTAGATAACGTTTGTCAGGCGTCAAAACGAAGCGACCACCAAACAAACCAAAATTCAACATAACAGAGAATGTCTACATTAATCCAAATACATACATACATACATACATGCATACATACATACATACATACATACATACATACATACATACATACATACATACATACGAGTACAAAGAGAGGAATAAAACCACTGTGGTGCTAGTACGCAGGTGAGCGTTAAAATTGATACAGCTTCCGGCTCCTCACGACGCTTTGGGACAACAGCAGCTCAGGAGGTTCCATGTCGCGGTCTGAAACTGTTGGACCGAGTCTTCCATAAGACTATTCTATTCTAGGTTACGTATACTTTGTTATCAGATTTCATCTCTACGTTATACGTTCTTGCAATGAAGCCAAAAACCCTGGTTTCAAACCAACGAAGAAGAGGCGTACGAGCCACACCCACACATTTCCGGTTGTGACAACGGTCACCGGCTCAATTGGGCATCAAGGTGTTTTGGGCACCTTGGACGTCTGACCCCGTCCGAAAGGCGCATGATCTGATGAACTGGACACCGGCTCCCAATGAACTGCGGTTTTCACACACCGCCCTGCTGCCTTGTGGGTCAGGCTTTGGCGAGACGAAGGTTCCGGTTGTGGATTCCTCAAGAAAATTCACCTGCCTTGGCCCGGGCAACCTGTCTGTATTTAGCGCACATGCAAATCGCGGAACGTTTTTCTTTTTATAATGATTATTGTACCATGATTTGTTTGGCACACAGTCTGAACTCAGACGTGTGAGAAATATATATATATATATATATATATATATATATATTCGTTCAAACAACCTTGTTTGCAACACAGAGTGACCATTGGATAGACAGCTCTTTTACATACTACTTATTGTGAAATATATATATACTGTATCACTAAAAGTTTGGTGATAGAGCTTAAAAGTGCAACTCAGGAACGCTGAGAGCCCTGGTATACTCCAAAAGAGAAGCAGAATGTTGTTCGGACCAGTAAATATTATTACGATGGAGAAAACTGAATTCAGGAGACTTCGTGCAATCAGCCAGTCCCTTGTGTACAAACAATGTAGAGCAGAGCAGAGCAGAAAATACTGAGCTTGTGGTCTACGAGGGACAAAACATCGACTGGAAAGGGGAAACAAACTCACGGCAAGTAAGCAGTTCATCTTCCTTCTCTCGCAACTGATGACGCGCTGTGTCAACGGCCAATTCAAGTTCCTGTTTGGACTGAGTAACTTCGGACAGTTGAGACCGCAACTCAGAGGCCTGTTGCTCAACCTGAAGCAAACAGACAGTGAATATAAGAACAGATTTATGCTGTGTGTGTTTAATGGTGGAGTACAATAGAAGGGATAATATATATGACTTCTAAACAGAAGGGGACCACACTGAATTTCAAGTCGGGTGGAGGTAATTGCTAGGACGGAGCGTAAACAACCCGTTCAATCGTGCACGCCTCCAAGTCAGACCACACGCCCGCCCGCAACGCTCCAGGCAGGTAACTGTAGAACCAGTCAGCCAATGTTTGTTCGATCGATCGATATGTCAAGGACGCAAGCTGACTGATGCATCACTGCACCATTCTCGTACGCGAGATTGGTTCTATATACTAGCGTATCGAACTCTAATCAAAAGAATACATGCTGACTGTTGTCTCCAGTCGTGTCCTCTCTCCGCGATATTGTTGGGGTTTAGGCAAAAGTCGCTCGTATCAATCGCATGTCTAGATCGAACACAACAATAATGACCAACCTCATACAGCAGTCCAGTTGACAATTCGTGGCTAAAATGAGCAACTCAACTATTCGCCCTGGATACTACTCGGAAACTAAGACAAGAGACAGTTCATATGTTGCAGTATCATAACTTTTTAGCGTGGAACGAAACGATAACAGGAAAAAGTTAATCTTTATGGCGAAAACGATTCCTGTCAAATGCACTGATTGTCAGAAAAAATGCGAGTTGATATCGATACATCACAGGCATCATGCCTGACTATCATAAAGAGACCGGACCTGCAGGTTATGACGGTCTGATTGCCTCTATCGCCCAAAGAGCCGTCGAGTAGGATTTCCTATGGTAAAAATTCAAACCTTAAAGGTTATACCGAAGTTCAGTTCCACTGGGTCAAAGTCAAAGTTTTATTATGGGAAATACTTACATGCGATTGCTTTTCTAGTCCTATAGGATTTGGCATAGATGAATCGGTTCACAGTTCATACAAAGTAGATGAATGTCACAAATTGTCCTTTTTCGTGCACTTCTGCGGATGTTGAAATTTAAGACTATTCAAAGTTTCATCCAGTTTGTGCTTGAATGAATCAGTTGTGGGCGCAGCGACAACGTGTGGTGGTAGGGAATTCCAAGTAATGCACACTCTGAGTGCGAATGAATGACGCCGGCATGCTAGTCGGCATTTTTGGAGCACTGATTTGAATGAGTGCCCCCGCAGGTGAGTGTTGGGCGACAAGGAAAAGAGTGGACGGGATGGGTGATCTGGGTTCTGCATTATTTGGTATACCAAGATCAGGGTTCCTCAAATGCGGCGATACTGTGCGGGGTACAGTTGCAGTGCTTCTAGTCTTTCCGCATAACTCTTGGAATGCAGTCCCTTGACCGTTTTGGTGAATATTCTTTGTGGACATTCCAGCATCTTCTGATCGCGTTGCAGCCATGGATTTCATGTTTGAATGGTGTACTCTATGTGGGGTCGAATGTAGGCTGATAACCATCGTGGAAACAGTGTAGGCTCAAATTTGACCAAATACTCGTTTTAGCAAACCAACATGTCTTACAGCGGTAAACGACGCCCCCGGGTCAGCTTGGTATACTGCTTTTTCTCTGACCAATCAAATTCAGGGTGAGTTTAACGGTCGTTGAACGCCCCATTGTCATAGATGGATACGACAGCCCCAACTAAATGATATTCAGAGCATTTTTTTTAATGTAATCAATCTATTGGTGTAATCATTCATCGGACATTCAGATCCCTGATAGTTTTACATAAAATTCAAACACTGTAAAAAGCTATGTGCAAATTCGCACAGACCGGAAGCTGAGTTTAAATGTACTACTACATTACAGTTGGCTTCAACCAAAGGCTGGGCCATCTTGTTGATACCTGTTAACTTGTGCGGACTTTTTTTAGGTGTTAGGTCGCGTTATACTCTCTCTCTCTCTCATTCTGTTTTATGGTACACGTCAAACACATAAAACGCAACTGGGGGTTAGACGCTAGTAAGCTGACTGCTCACTATGGCAGCTGCTTACTATGAGCAAAAGATGGTCGAACTGGGTAACTTAGTTAAGTGATCGTGCAGTTATTTGCAGCAGCAAAGAGTGAAACATATAACCCACAGATATAGTTTACCCGTGATGGAGGAAGGGAGTATTCAGTAGAGCGAATGATTCTGCTACATGCCCCGAGTGTCATACATGCACAAACTGAGGTTTGAATGGTTTATTGCAGAGAAAAAAGTTGAAGATGAAAAAAACAGATAACAAAGAACAAAACGGATGATTCGAGATAGAATGGTCCTGTTATCATGATCAACACCACCTCCGGTGTAACGATCAAGCGTTTAACAGTTTGTTGTTGTTTGAAGCTTCGTCTGGAACCTACGTGTCAGCTTTGAACAAGAGAAGAGAACTGAAAAGAATTACAGAGGAACTGACGGTGAGTAGTATCTGTGATAAAAATACAGCCAGATGGGGAAATCGAGCTACAGAAATTGATCAGCAGAATTCATATTGCTCTTTAAGCAGCCAATGCTAGTGAGTGTGCTTATCGAATGAGTAGAGTGTATGACAGCTGTTTGACTTGTTTGACTTATGTTTTTCGGAACTGAGGGTGATGAACGGTTTTGACGCGCAGATTATTTGTATCACGACAGCATGGACTGCTGTATCCACTACGTGGTTGCAAGTGGATCTTGGCTAGCAAAACACACCATGAATCGACGATTCAACATCAGCTTTTACGCGGGAGCACCAAGTTTGAGGAAGTAAAGATCCACCGGCAAACATCTTCGAACTAGATGACATTATCGGAAACATCAGTCAAATAACCTGAAAAGTGAACGGTTTACAAATACGAACCAAAAGACGATAGGTTGTGTAAAGGTGATGGCTGAACAGTAACGCAGTGCCGAATGAATGAATGATTGGACTAAGCGCGACAACGAAACGCACGAAAAGAACAACGGAATGGTTAGGTGAAAACAACGTCTGAGCAGTTGGCAAGACACCGGCAGTAAATAGGTTGTATAATGCTGTGAATCCACAGACAATAGTTTCCAAGAATGGTGATAGCCAAGTGATTATAATGTAGCGGTGGTGCAAAAAAAAAATGTAAACATGAAAACCAATATAATTTAAAATGGTAGGCGATGTATATGAATAATTTGGGCATTTCTGTTCGATAGATGTAAAAATACGAGCAGAACGTAAACAGTGCACAGAATGAACAATATTGCGAGTAATGTAAATGGTTTTGGCTCGCGGGGCTAGGCAAGCAGTTACCCGAAAACTTGGAAATAGGAAATGAACAAGCAGTTTGTGGAAACAGAACGGGACTACGGCAATAACAATTTGAGTGTCTATTTCCTGTTTGAGTGCACGGTCAAAATCATGATACCCCACCGAAGAGATAGAATTCGTTGGTCGTGGTTGTCTTTAAACATTCTATCCACCTCCATCATGGTGGTGGTGGCGCAGTAGCTTAGTGGTTGTCACCGGCGTGCTTTGGACCCTACGGTCCGAAGTTCGAGCCTCGCCACCGCTACCCAACTTTGGCGGTAGCCAGCTTTGCTGTCGTCCACTTTAATACCACTCCTAACCTAGCGGGGCCTTACGTGGTTCGTCATACCAAGTCCCAGGGCTTGGGTTACCGGTTAGCATCACTGAACATGAGTTCCTCGTGACTATGAGCGGTGGTGGCCCGGTGGTAATGTCAACAAATTATCACCTCAGGGCACGTGTGTCCGAACCCCACCACCATCGCCTGACTTTCCCCATGGTAGCCCTTTGATTGGCCGCTTCCTCCTTCCGGAAAATGTTATCATTTTATATTTAATAAAAGGAAGTAAAAGTTTTTAAAAAAATTAAAAAGATTTCCCCGTGTGTTGTTCATCACACTAAGGTGTGTAAAAAAAAAGAACTCGGACATACAAGTATTGTTCACGTTCTATGATAAACACAACACTGTTACACTCTAGAAAAAACTTGCCCCAGAAGTGCAAAGCACCGTACATTACGGTAACATCAACCGCGGTAATAGAAAACACCGGAAGCAAACGACATACCTGTGCCACATACGATTGATATTGTGATTCTAATCGTTCACGATCTCTGCTCATCTGGGACAGGGATTGTTCATGTTCCCGAAGTTTATTGAACAGCTGCTCCCGTTCCCGAAGCCAATCCTTGGACGAATACGCCCCAGTATTGTTGTGCTCGTCAGATACGGTGTCATCCCGGGTGCCTGGATGACCAGATTCGGCGGAACCTAAATTTGCACCGTTTTCTGTCTCGTTCAGATGCGTACTATACACCTGAAAGAGGACAAATTCCAGTGGCACAACGTGAATTTGATGTAGGCCACCATAGATCAGATGTAAACGTGACAGATGCAACACATGGACCCGAAAAAAATCAAAAACACCCTCTCTCTGTGGGCTGACGAAAAAGGTGACAGAGGGAGAATGCCCGATGAAGCACTTCACAGTCCGACTATCATCTAATTCCCAAATGGAGAATGGTGATTTAATTGAGCATCTTTGTTAGGTAAAAAGACTATTTTTACCTTAAACTATTTTTCGAGTATCTTCAATTAGGAGCATCTCTAATCAATACCAATCTCGCGGAGAATAATCAATCATATCGCATCATACAGAGACATTCACTCCGTCCGTCCGATCCGTGACTTATGATCGATCGAACTTTTCTAACTGTGTACTTGATTGGCATTATCTTTTTCTTGCTATTTTGAGTCACATATAAGCATCAGAGTAAAACTTGTAAATTGATTTGCTTCCTGTGTGTCAAGTACACGTTCGCTGTGCACTAACTGTGTTCTTGCTTACGTAGCCGGGAGAAGGCTACTAGTGCTCGTGGCGTCCAATCTGTGCTGTGATCATACGCGTGAGGCTAGACGATTAGTGTGGCCGTTGAGGTACGTGTGTTCCTCGTGTGATATCTTGTTGTGTGTACATTGTGATCAAACGAGATCCGGATACAACAATCTTTTCATGTTGGGATTGTGAAAAGTTCAGTACCCTCAGTGGAATTCAAACCCACCAGGCATGGACGTCGATCACGTTTTTGTACAATGCATGCTCTACCAGCTGAGCTACGAGGCCACACCGACAGCACTGATCTTTTCACAATCGAATCACCGATACAATTTACGGAGGCATATGCCATCCACCAGTTAGCATGTAAGCTGACCACCCTGACAGATTTTCCTTAGAACTTTTCACAATTTCAAAATAGGACTTCAATCTGCCAAACAACAATGTGAGCACCTTTTGTGTTTTTGAAATAATATTAGTAGTATATTTTTCACGCATCTTAGTCTAATTCGCATCCTAAGACAATTCATAGTACAACACAATTTTGCTACTGTCACGCAATCCAACTACGTTTTGGCTGAGAACCCTAATCTTCCTCCGGCTTAGCGGCTGAACTCCCTAACAGTACCCGTTCATCAAACTCCAATACACACACCAAAGATAAAGAAACCCATAATCTACTAGTCGTCGGACAGGATGATTGGGACCGCATGACCCTGTGGATCGGATGGAGATGGTAATGATAAATGAGCTACGGTTCAGACATCCTTCGCTTTGTTTGATTCTTTGTCTTCATCTTGGGATGAATCACTAATCGTTCTAAGTTCCGATAAGGAATCTGGCAACGACTGAGCAAACAATTGCAAGATAAGTTTGATTCCGTTTGTCTCAAAATTATCAGCTTCCATCATAAATCCACGTCTGGCATGGATAAAAGACATCAACATCCGTGAAAACAGGCCAGACTCCGACCTGAGCGCAGGTGCATTGATCATATCTTTAGATTGCATCACACATATATATACATATACAAAATGAACAGTTTTTTTATTACACACTTTCGTGTGGTGAACAGCAGACGGGGTGAACCCCATAGTCACAACGATCTGCTGTTCAGTGATAGAAACCGGTGATCTAAGCCCCGGGAACCACATAAGTTCCCACTAGGTTGGGCGTGGTATTGAACCGGACGACAGCAAAGCTGTCTATTTGGTTGTTTTATTCTGTTACAGAATGTGCTTTAGACTCAGCCAAACGCGAGACTCTCTTCGGTTGCGTTTCGCAACGGAATTGTGCAGAAATATGCTAAACAACCCAAATACCTCAGATCGAATGAGGCGTCTATGGCGAACTAAGTACGGTGTACGGCACTAGCAGCGCTGTTCATCAGGTCGTCCTATTTCGCCATTCCTGTTCAACTTCGTCGGTAGACATATGCAACAAAGATGTATCGCGAATTGTCGTACATCTGATAGTTAGATTCTCAAACAGCCCAGGTCAAACTGTCAGACTCACTGCAGCGGACAACCAGTAGTTGAAAATTACCGATCATTAGTGTTGAGTTCTTTACAAATGGAACCAAACTCTGGTACAGCATTGATTGGCTGTGTCAATCACGTCAATTGGGCTGCCCGCAGAACATCTCACTGTTAACTACGTTGCAATCAATCTACAGATACACATGAGCCTGCACGGATCAGAAGTAAATTGTGTGCGTATACGCCTGTGCACCAAAGTTGGCTGGCCTCAGCCTATGCAGAAATTTAGGCTACTCATCAGAATTATTTTTCAACTAATGGTTATCTGCAGCAGTGAGACTGACTATTTAGTGTACGAGAATTCCGAATGCACCGGTACATCGGGACAGAATGGAGGCGTACACGTGCGTGTTTAGTGAGCATTAGGAGTTAGTTCGGAAAAATCACCAATAAATCTAGTCCCATAATAGTAATGCCACTTGGTGGATATGAAACTACTAGTCAAGAAAACGTTCCAGATTTCGCTCACATTGAATAGTTCGATGAAGAGGAGGACTATTCCAGCGTAGAGGAGTGGTTTAGCAACATACACAGAGACCAATGAGTGCGTGAAAAGGTATACAATCACATAAACAAACGCATGCACTTTTACGGAAACTCGGTTCGATAATCACACTATTTGTTTCCGTGCTTATCCACAGCCACATAAATGGCATAGAATCAGAAAAAATGGATTACCAATAGCGTTCGATAGGGTAACACACATGGATGCATGATCGCATCAAGGCTCTCTCAAAGTGATGCACCTCGAAGATGGCTATGTCCCAATGGTCTCGGAATAGCAGATGCGGATCACAGGACATTACAATAAAACAGAACAGATCGACAGACTTACTTGCGCTAACTCTAATTGTCTACGGAGATCGTTGATACTCATTTCCAACTGGGTGATCTCGAACGTGCGTGAATTCAGGCGTGAGTTTGCTTCATCCAGTTCCGCTTGGAAATTCTCGCGTAACGATTTCTCTCGTTTCACATCTGCGTGCACACGTTCAAGCTGACACGGATCGGGGGTGGGGGGNGGGAAGCAGACAGTGAGACAGAAACTATCTGATTGGTACTGGCAATCGAAAGTGATAATTTTGTTATTTGTCAATTAAGAAAAGCTCAACAGCCTCGGTGGGATTCGAACCTACACAGAAAAAACCGTGGCACTCAGCCCGCAGGTTACGTGATGGATCTCACAGGCCATTGTAAGCTGGGTGGGTGATTTTAACGTGAAAAGATAATTGCTATCAGTTTGTGGTCTGGCTGTGGCTCAGTTGGTAAACCGTGCGCTGTGCAAAAGTGCAAGTGGGATCCATGCTTGGGTTATAATCCCACAGAGGTTCTTGAACTTTTCATGACTGGAAACTAACAATTCCATCTGTCAAACAACCGAAATGGAATAATAATTTAGCAGTGTTTATTCGTATAACTAAAACCATAAACGGCAGTTCTCGTTCAAAACCACGAAAAATAAAGTGCGGAACTCCATTGCACAATACGGGGGGGGGGGAGCAGTATTATTTATTCCTTTTTTATTGCGAAACTGATTTTGGATCTCCATCACAGGGACTTCCACAGCCCTGGAACTCGACGTGGTGAACCTCATTAGACCTTAAACACATAGTATTGAGCCGGAAAACAGGGTATTTCCTCGTTGTTCCAAAACGTTGGTAGTGAGTATTCCTTTACATACACACATGTATTGATCGAGAATAGAGCTACAGATCGTTGGATTGAGAACCGAAGCTATGACCACAGAGTAAAACGGTCCTGACCGAGAACATTATTCGTCCCCATAAAAAGGATAAGGATTATGTGAGTCAAAATGATGACCATTGTTAGGGTATAGTTACAGTCAGAGAGAAATGCAACTGCCTTTCTGAAGATTAGGATTGAAATCAAACGAGGTAAAATACTGGCTAGATAAGAGCACATACTTGACAACTGAGTTCCGTGTTAGTCGCCAGCGCCTTCTCTAATTCGACCTTGGAAGACGCGATGGTGCCTTCCATATCGACCGAATGCTTCCTGAAAGTCTGAATACGCTCGTTGAGGTCCTCGATTTCCTGAGGGGAAAACAATTTAATCATTGAAATCGGAAAAAATCTGTTAAAAAGGTATGAACGGCTGTAAAAACGAGTTAGAATACAGCAAAAAACGCTGAGGAAAAGAAATGGAGAACAATTGAAATTTCAACAGTTATCATAAGTAAATGGTAACGCGAAGGTCTATTTTAATCCTTTTACCCTTTGGTTTACCATGGCAGCACAGATAAAATGTTTCATTTCAACACTCAACTACGGGTGCGAGACAATTGCGTTTGAATGGTTAATCGAACCGATAATTGAACGAATGATTAATTAGAGCGAAAACTACTTGGGATGGAGTAGTTTCAAATAGTACATGCTCTAACGTCAACAATCTCAGCTCAGTTTCAGTTTGTACAACCATTGGTCACGCATATTTGTGCACCGGTTTTGGTTGCTGTCTTTTGGCTGCCCATTGGGATGAAGAATAGGAGAAGAAAGGAAAGTTGAAAGTGGAGTCGAACAGAAAATGGAGAAGTTCAGTGGTCTACGGTTGCAAAGAAATTGAGAAGATGCACGAACGCCACTGTTTGCGACACCCAGCCATATCACTCAGTGTCTCTAACCATCGGTTACGATCATCCCGA